CTCACCACTTCTATTTGTGTTTGTAGGGCTACCAAACAAATCTCTTAGTGTCTGCAAGTACATATCATGCCGGCGGTCTTCTGCTTCCTGCACCTCTCGCGAACGCCAGTCTTCTGCTTCCTCAAACTGCTGGAATGCCTCGCTGATGCTGGCAATGAGGCGATCGGTTTGCCGATCGGCATTCTCAAGGACAAGCTCTTGAAATGCCGCTGTTCGTCGTCGCTGTGTGGGCCACTCGCTGACATCATTATCGTTATCCCTTTCTCGTCGGGTGCTATTGACAACGAGGCCATCAAGGGAATCCATCGTGGCAGGAGGTACAATTGCAGGGTCAGTTCCCACAATTCTGTCTACAGCGTTATAGTAGCACCATCGCTCTTGACCTAAAGGGCCGTTCTCACCACTGTTGCGAATCGTAGCCCTAACATCGCGATATTCATCGACTAGATCTTGCCATTTCTTCTGTAATGCTTCTTTACTTCGACCTAACGGATCAGCTGCAACATACTCAGAAAGTATTTCATTCCAGATGCGACCTTTGGCTTGCATTTCGATAACTGTCTTCAGTCTATCGTATCGAGTCCCTACAGCCGTAATGAGTGCATCAATGTGGGCCTCGTCCCATGTATAGCGTTGTGCAGAGGTAGGAATGGGCGTCTGCGAACTAGGTAGAGGCGATGTCAAATCACTATCAGCGGCCACTGATGCAGGCAATGCTTCTGGGGCTTGGGATTGCGGTGTCTGCATCGGTGCTTCTGAATCTTGCCGTTGCTGTGTCTGCTGCTGTTGCTGAGGATCTGATGATGAACTGGCGGGTGTCTACATCAAGATTTGAAAGTTGTTGTAGTTGTTGCTGTTGTTTGGCATAATAGGTATCAGAAAAAATAGAGAGGCAATGGATGAAGTGAATTATAGAGAAATTTATTTATTAGCTTCTACTATATTCACAGCATATATATATATACGGTTGGGTACAAAGTTTCTTATGGCAATCGTGTTGTTATTCATGCAATACCTTGGGGTATGTACAGAAAAGGAAGTTTCTCGGTGCGGTGCGCCTTTATGTTCGATCCGAGTAGAGAGGACTTTGAATTCTTGCAAAACTATTTTGGGTTCTCTGTTCGGAGCGAAATGAGAGCAACCATAGAGGCCTCTGAGAAGCCCTCTTTTGGAAGGAAAATAGAGAATGTATCTTCCATTACTAAATTGGGGTATGGTATTCTCTTTTCAGAGCGAAATGAGAGCAACCTATAAGTATGAAAAAAATGAGAAAAAAGAAATGTGGTTGAATCGCCATAACAATTATATGAGTAGATAGCTAAGATGTGACTTAATTGGTAGGATTTTTAGTAGGGCACTGTAGGGTGTTTAGTTGACGAGGAACCCCTTTGAGAAAATAATTCTCCAAAAAAAGTCATCAGTTACTATGTAAAGTAATAATCTAGAGATGTGACTGCTAATTTTGAGCCTACCAATGACTGTACAGCATTTGACTTATATAACAGAATTCTTATCATAGCTCTGTAGTACATCTCATTAGCTAGTAATAGAGAAATAATTATATTCTTTTTAACAATTTATTTTCCAATTTTAAAAAAAAATTCCCATTCAATCACTAATTTATATTATTTTTATTTTTTTTAGATATAATGAAAACTATTAATATATAAAATTTTAGAAATTAAATTATTTTTATAAATAAATAAAAAATTGTAAATATGTATAATTTGAAGTAAATATAATAATTTATATGCTATTAATATAAAAGATACTAAGGAATACTTGGATATAACTTTCTGGGTAATAAATATATTTTAATTTTTAATTTTTTTAATTATTTCTCATAGCTCTGAGAATAAAGTTTTCTCAAGAAAAAAAGCCTATATACTATGTGACTGCTATTGCTGTTTTAGTATGTTGTTGCCATATATGATAGATACATGTACTGCAATTTACAGCACTGTAGCTACAATATTGCACCTTCTAGAAGTCTTAATCCACCTTAAAATAAAGCTACTTTTAGTGATTTTTACACATCCTCTTATGTAATGTCTAAAATAAGCAATGTGACTATCTTCAGTAAAAACATATTTAGATGTATATACATCATCTGTATATGCCTACAAAGTTTTATAGCAATAGCATTAATAATAGATGAGCTATGATCTATTTAAGGATGGATTAACTAAAAAACACCTATATACCAAACCAATGAAAAAACTAAAGCTATATGTCTGCTATTGCTTAGTCCGGGAAAACGTTTAGTCGTCGGGAAAACTAATTACCCGTCTATTTCCTTTTTAGGAAGTTACGTGATCTAAGCCACTTAGTAAGCCACTGAGCCACCAGGGAAATTCTTACAGTCACCCCTTGGGGGCTTAGTAAGTGGCTTAGATCACGTGACTTCCTAAAAAGGAAATAGATGGTTAATTGGTTTTCCCAACGCTAAACGTTTTCCTGGACTAAGCAATAGCAGACATAGGACACTAGACCATATATTGTTATATTATGTAATTTTATAAACTACTTGCTAATTTATAACCTAGAAGAAAGTTATTGCATTAAATTATTATCATGAGATAAAATATTTATCAATTAAAAAAATTTAATTTTAAAAGGCCTATATGATATAAAATGATTAATAATAAAAAAAATAAGATACTCTACATATATTGATTTTTTATTAAAAATAGACTACTATAACAAAAAAAAATTATTTTATTAATAGTTTATCCATAATGTTTTTTAAATCAAGTTGCCTAATACAGGATTTTTCATCTCCTAGCGGACGTTTGAACTTTTATTTAGGCAGAAGGGATTTAATTTTAGGCAGAGTGGACATGAATGTTAATCTGAGTGGACATGAATGAAAGTTAATCTGAATATGAATAATAATTGATCTAGACATGAATGAAAATCGTTCATCAGTGCAATTTATAACGGTATGACACTTTTTTATATGAAAGATGATTATTATAAATAAGCGTACCCAGCAATACTATTGATATTCGATATGACCTTCTTCTCTATATAGTTCACGATCAAGCAAGGACCGCTCACAGTTTCATCAGCGCAATTTATAACGGTATGACATCTTTTTTAACGTGGAAATCGTGATGGATTTTTATAAGTGATGCGTACCCAGCAATACTATTGATATTCGATATGACCTTCTTCTCTATATAGTTCACGATCAAGCAAGGACCGCTCACAGTTTCATCAGTGCAATTTATAACGGTATGACACTTTTTTATATGAAAGATGATTATTATAAATAAGCGTACCCAGCAATACTATTGATATTCGATATGACCTTCTTCTCTATATAGCTCACGATCAAGCAAGGACCGCTCACACTTTCATCAGCGCAATTTATAACGGTTTGACACTTTTTTATAACGTGGAATCGTGATGGATTTTATAAGTGATGCGTACCCAGCAACAATAATATTATTGGTACTTGATATGACCTTCTTCTCTATATAGTTCACGATCAAGCAAGGACCGCTCACAGTTTCATCAGCGCAATTTATAACGGTTTGACATTCTCTTTTATGAAACGTGGGAATCGTGATGGATTTTTATAAGTGATGCGTACCCAGCAACAGCATTACTATTGATATTCGATATGACCTTCTTCTCTATATAGCTCACGATCAAGCAAGGACCGCTCACACTTTCATCAGCGCAATTTATAACGGTATGACACTTTTTTATATGAAAGATGATTATTATAAATAAAGCGTACCCAGCAATACTATTGATATTCGATATGACCTTCTTCTCTATATAGTTCACGATCAAGCAAGGACCGCTCACACTTTCATCAGCGCAATTTATAACGGTTTGACATTCTCTTTTATGAAACGTGGGAATCGTGATGGATTTTTATAAGTGATGCTTACCCAGCAACAGCATTACTATTGATATTCGATATGACCTTCTTCTCTATATAGCTCACGATCAAGCAAGAACCGCTCACACTTTCATCAGCGCAATTTATAACGGTTTGACATTCTCTTTTATGAAACGTGGGAATCGTGATGGATTTTTATAAGTGATGCGTACCCAGCAACAGCATTACTATTGATATTCGATATGACCTTCTTCTCTATATAGCTCACGATCAAGCAAGGACCGCTTACACTTTCATCAGCGCAATTTATAACGGTATGACACTTTTTTATATGAAAGATGATTATTATAAATAAAGCGTACCCAGCAATACTATTGATATTCGATATGACCTTCTTTTCTTCGATGTATGTAGGTGACGATGACGTAATCAGCCGGCGATTACGCCCTCAAGGTAATATGTTGTGGTTTGGGTGACATCTTCAACCATACGGTCCAGGGAGAGTGCATTATAGTTCTTAGTACTATTGACTGCTATTACTCTTAGTCACTGATGGTACTTTCTGATTTTATATACATAGTTGATCATAGAAAACGGGCGCCGTCGATCTCCTCAAGGCAGCATACAATGGTTTGGGTTGGTTTCACGAAAAGTATGCTTCATATTACATTTCTTTTACAAACATACATATTTGATTATAAAAAAAAAGACTGCCGCCGAATTCTGTATGGGAAGGTACTAATGCCGGCAACAGAAAACGTCATGACGTGCTTTATACTTTTTCTAGATTTCTACAGTGCTGTGCCTTTGGAGCGGACTTTGTTTTACATGGCTAGTATAGCAAGCAGAACAATATGTGTGCGCACGGACGTCCATTTTGCGGTATAAAGTATAATTTGATCGCCTGTGGTTTTGTATAAAGCGGTTCTGTAACTGGAAAAAAGGTGCTCTTACAGACACTCAACGTGGGTGGCAGTACGCAATTCGCGCATTGTGTACAGCAATCTTTGCAGCTGATCGAGTCGCGGTGTCAGCGAAAGTGTATGTTATTTTATCTTTGTTGCACATATAAAGTATTTTTTACAACGAACAATGTCAAAGGCAATGTCAAAGTTAACTTTATTGCAATCGGAATTGTACACTGTAGGGCAACACAAATCTCAAACAATTGCGGTTGGTGAATGGTGGAATGAACGGACAGGTACGACCTGAACGGTAGCAAGCTCTTTATGCCCTCCCTTTGTGTATAAAGCGGGTCCGTCACTCGAAAAAAGGTGCTCTTGCTGCCGTGTGAGTATTATTCTTTCTTTGTTGCACATATATAAAGTAGTTTTTATAACGCACAATATCAAAGTTAACATTACTGAATCTAGCATTGCAAACAACAACAGAAGTCTCAAGTCATTGCGGTTGGTGAATGGCAGAAGGAAGAGAAGGGTACAGCCTGAAAGCGTGGGAAGCAAGCTTTTGACAGAAGCCCGTCACCATGATCTTTATTACTACTAATTCATATAACTTTCTTTTTTTGTATATACATAGTTGATCAGTTCTTGGCTGTTTTGACGGTTGTACAGCCACTTTCCAACCACACAACATGCTGCGTTGTAGACTTTGGGCTCTATGGTAACTTCTCATACGGATCTCTGTTTAAATTACCATAGAGCTCTATGCTAAGCGCACATAAACCTATGTCGGACACGTTTAAGCAGGGAAAAGTGAAATGACAGTGACCAAACAATGACCAAAACTTTATTTGGTCAATGACCAGATTTTTCCCAAAAGGAACAGTGGTGGGGGGAGCATTTGCAAGAATGGGGGGAAGGCGATGACCAGAAGACTAGAGGGAAGGCCTGGCGGTGACCGAAAGGGAGAGGCGATGACCAGAGGCGATGACCAGCGGAGAAAAGAAAAGGGGAGGCGATGACCAGGGCCGATGACCAGCGGTGACAGAAAGGGGGAGGCGATGACCAGAGGCGATGACCAGCGGAGTAAAAAAGGGAAGGCGATGACCAGAGGCGATGACCAAAAATTTCCAAAAGCGTGTATGATGACCAGAGGCGATGACCAGCGATGACCAAAAATTTCTATATAGAATTGCCACGGCGATTACTTAGTAGGTGGAGTAGACCCAGTAGACCCAGGTCTACCCCAGGTCTACTCAAAATTTTTATTTGATATTTAGGTAGAGACAAGGTCCAGGAACACGATTTATTATGATGCAAATGCTTACTTACTTAATATGGTTTAGAGATATAAGCCATTTACTATTGAGTATAAGGTATCCTCTACTAAGTAGACCCAGTAGACCTAAGTCTACCCCAGGTCTACTCAAACATTTTATTTGATATTTGGGTAGAGACAAGGTCCAGGAACACGATTTATTATGATGCAAATGCTTACTTACTTAATATGGTTTGGAGATATAAGCCATTTACCATTGAGCATAAGGTATCCTCTACTAAGTAGACCTAGTAGACCCAGGTCTACCCCAGGTCTACTCAAACATTTTATTTGATATTTGGGTAGAGACAAGGTGCAGGAACACGATTTATTATGATGCAAATGCTTACTTACTTAATATGGTTTGGAGATATAAGCCATTTACTATTGAGTATAAGGTATCCTCTACTAAGTAGACCCAGTAGACCCAGGTCTACCCCAGGTCTACTCAAATATTTTATTTGATATTCGGGTAGAGACAAGGTGCAGGAACACGATTTATTATGATGCAAATGCTTACTTACTTAATATGGTTTGGAGATATAAGCCATTTACTATTGAGTATAAGGTATCCTCTACTAAGTAGACCTAGTAGACCTAGGTCTACCCCAGGTCTACTCAAAAATTTTATTTGATATTTGAGTAGAGACAAGGTCCAGGAACACAATTTATTATGATCAAATGCTTACGTACTTAATACATTGTGGAGATATAAGCCATCTACTATTGAGTATAAGGTATCCTCTACTAGATAAACCTAGTGAACCTGGGTACACCCTAGGTATACCCCAATTTTTTTTAAAAGTATAAATCCATTTGATAAGTAAAATATATTTGAGAATATAAGAATAGAAAGGGATAAGAGTCAAAAAGAGAGAAAGGGATACAAGACAAAAGAGACAAGAGAGATCTAATATAAAAGATAAAAAGGGGAGCAGAGAAGAAGATATAATAATAGTATATATAAAAAATCGAAAAGAGGAGAGAAGAGAGGCAAAGGTTCTATGTGATGAAGAAGTGTGATAAAATTATATGGCCTAAATACATGGCGTTATTTGGATATGTATGGGGCCCAGCAGCTATAAGCCAATAGGCAAAGTCTTGTTGTATTTCGATTGCCGTAAGGTGGTTTTTGTTGTAGCCAGCTTGGCGGATAAATTGGGGCTTACGCCGATAGGCTGCCCAGCAGAGACGGTATAAGAGGTCCTCATACGTACCACTGCAGTTTGACCAGTTACCATCATGGAAGATGGTTTGGTTCCACTGATTGGGCACAAGGCATTTCTTACAGAAGCCATCCCTTACTGGCTTGACACATGCAGGATTTGATACATAGTGGTCACCAAAACAACGGAAACATTGACCAATATGAGCAATACACTGGGGAGAGGTTGCATGCTCACTTTCAGCTATGCCAAAAGTAAATAAGCAAGGTATACAGTGATCCTTGGCTATCATCATAACTGACTTGAAATTGTCAGCATCCGATATATACTTTCTCTTTCGAGAAAGACCAAGATATGCGTCAGTAGGGGTTGGCTAAGGAAAGGTGTATACTGTAGATTAGTACTAATGCTGACAGAGTAATAACAAAGATGACTTTGTATATACGTACAATCGATGGTGGTGTATGATCGATAATCCAATCAGTTGAAGGGCGGATAGTAGTTGACGGAGGGAGAGGAGAATCTATATGCAGGTTGGAAGCTTAAGTATCATTGAGAGCATTAATGATTCAAGTACTGAAAAGAAATGTGTATATACCTTTGATTTTTTGGCAATAAGAGCAAAGCTCGACATTACCGTACCCAAAGCAGTTGGAAGACTAATCATTAATGATAAATCAATAAAAGAATAATAATATAAAGATTTATCTATAAAGTAATATCAATATGAAACTACCAAGACAAAAATCATAGATTTTTTATGGAGTTTCAAGGTTATAAGTTACTTTCTCTAGAGAAAGATAACCAAAGAGTCGCGTTCGCAAGTCACGACTTGAGAACTTAAGGAGAGAGCAAGTTACTACCGTAACTTAATATCCTCATTACCATTCCGGGGATGTTTTAATCAATAAAAGATATATTTGTTGATCATTAAAAGTTTTAATTATTAAATGATTTATCAATCTAATGATATAACATTTATATAATTTATCTTTTTTAATCTATATCTTTTTTAAATTTATTTATAAAATAATAAACTTTAAATGATTTATCAATAAATAAATAAAAAATAAATAAATAAAATAAAAAGAAATAACTTTTAAAAAGATAAACTATTTTTTCTTTTCTTTTTAATAAAGGAATAATTAAAGGATATATATTATAAAGGTTTTTAAATTTTTCATATAATTTTTAAACTATAATTCTTACAAAGTTAATCATATAAAAGATTTATCTATAATTAAAGTTTATTCTTCTACTAAATTATAAATTTAAGGATAAAAGTTTATCCATGAATATTTTATTTATGTTTACTGCCGCCCTTCGGTTGCCAAGAAATCGAAGATTTCTGGATAGAGCAGAAGGAAGGAGAAGAAGATATATATTTAAATCAATAATAAAAGATAAAAGATTTACTCCTTAAACGTTTCATCCTAAAATATTATATCATTTTAATGTTCAATTATTATATTTTTAAACTATTATTTATGAAAAGTTAAATATTTGAAAGGCTTTTTCCTTCACATTAATTTTATCACATTTAAAAGATAAACCCCAATTATCTTTACCTATATAAATACCTGTTACTATAAAAGATATATCACATAAAAATGATTTATCAATATAAAGTTCAAAATTTTTAAAGCTATCATTACATAAAAAGGTTGTTTCTTTTTTTAAATCTATTGTTAATAAAGGTGAATTCTTTTCTTCATAAATTCTCGATACAAATGTTTTATCTTTAAATAAAGTATTATCATTATATTTATTTTTGATATATTTTTCTAATTCATTAATAAAGGATAAAAGATTATCAGATTTTTCATTAAAAGATTTTTTTATACTCAATTGAAAGTTATAACTTTTTTTTTCTTTATATTTTAAACATTTAATACCAAAAGGAACTCTCAATAAAGGTGTTTTTATTAATAAACTTTTCTCATTATATTTTATCTTTATAAAATCTTTATCATTAATAAAAGATAAACCATTGATATCCATCATTTTCTATTATAAAGGAAATTCAATTTTAAGGAATTATAAAAAAAAGGAAATACTGGATAAATATTTATCCAGATTTGATCAGATGATCAAATAAATTCCCCAGCCAGTGGGGAATTTTATTTCTCTTTTTTATTTATCATTTAAAAGTCTTATGTTTTCGAATAAATGTTTAACCATTTCAAAGATATATTTGAAATAAAGAACAAAAGTTTTTTCTTTATATTAAGGATAAAAGTTTTACCGATATATCTGTATAGAAGACTAATCATTAATGATAAATCAATAAAAGAATAATAATATAAAGATTTATCTATAAAGTAATATCAATATGAAACTACCAAGACAAAAATCATAGATTTTTTATGGAGTTTCAAGGTTATAAGTTACTTTCTCTAGAGAAAGATAACCAAAGAGTCGCGTTCGCAAGTCACGACTTGAGAACTTAAGGAGAGAGCAAGTTACTACCGTAACTTAATATCCTCATTACCATTCCGGGGATGTTTTAATCAATAAAAGATATATTTGTTGATCATTAAAAGTTTTAATTATTAAATGATTTATCAATCTAATGATATAACATTTATATAATTTATCTTTTTTAATCTATATCTTTTTTAAATTTATTTATAAAATAATAAACTTTAAATGATTTATCAATAAATAAATAAAAAATAAATAAATAAAATAAAAAGAAATAACTTTTAAAAAGATAAACTATTTTTTCTTTTCTTTTTAATATAAGAATAATTAAAGGATATATATTATAAAGGTTTTTAAATTTTTCATATAATTTTTAAACTATAATTCTTACAAAGTTAATCATATAAAAGATTTATCTATAATTAAAGTTTATTCTTCTTGGTAACTTGAGAGTCTAAAGACTCTGCAAGTATCTGCCGGATGCATTTTGATGCCAAAATGACATCATTAAATGCTTGCCACGGAGATAGATGCCGGTTTACCCTCTTGAGACTTTGTATCTGTCTTTTTTGGCGTTCAACATCAACAAAGTACAGACAAAGAGCAAGAGAACCATTGCGACCAGCGCGACCAGTTTCTTGAGCATAATCAAGGATTGATGCAGAGCCGCCAAGGTGAATTACCGTCGAGATGGTAGAGCAATTGATACCGGCACCAAATGCACTTGTTGCAACTATAATCTTTAGATCGCCGGAAACAAAGGCAGTGGTTCTTTTATGTTTTTCTTCCACTGAAAGATTTCGATGGAAGTATGATATTTGTGTGGTGTGGTGCGGTAGTGCTTGTTTAAGCTTGTTGCTAATGGATGTTGTTGCATCTACTGCAGAGCAGTAGATGATCGTTGAAGATGGTGATGATGATGGTAAATACTGAGCTTGTAGGTGTGATATTGCTGCAGCTTGCGGATTAGTGGTGTTGATGATTTTATAACAGAGGTTTGGTCGCATTGACGGCTGTCGTATGATTAAAAGGTCTGCGCCAAACATGTCATGTAAGTCGGATTCGAATGATGGTGGAATTGTTGCGGATAAAAGAAGGAATGGTACGGTGAGTGAACGGAGGAAAAGGAGTGTATATAATACCGGACGGAATGAACGCCATGTGATTGCTGTATGCACCTCATCAATTACGACTCGGGCTAGCTGATTATGGTCGTTTATTTGCTGCACAATGTTGAGGAACCGTTGACTGCTAGCATGTTCAACTTGGACGATGATGATGTTAGGCAAGGGGTGCTGTATAGTGATATCCGGAGTATATTCTATTACAGACAACCCAGCTTGCTGAATCCGGCGTTTCATATCGGCCAAAAGTGCGACAAGTGGGACAACGACGACTGTTGTCAAGTGCGGCTCGACTAGTGCAGGGACAAGGAATAGCAGGGACTTACCAGAGCCTGTGGGTTGGATGGCAAGTATGCTAGATTTTCGGGAGATGACGGTGGTGATGAGCTGTGCCTGTTCAAATGAGCGGAAGGAAGGCGACAGCGAGTTGGTTGCTTTACCAAGTGCGTTAAGCAGCTGTGGTGTGACAGGTGATCCTACAGTAGAGAGCAATATTAATTATGATTTTTTACATAAGATCAATGCAAAAAAGATATACCTTGCTGAGGTGCTGGTGATGCGGAAGTAGTTTTTGACTGGCGCCTATCCAAGTCATTTTGCACTTGCAAACGGTGTTGCATCTCGAGCAATGCAACGTTCTCAGCAGCAGCAACATTTGCCAGAAATTGTCCGTGTTGGACAGCAACTCTATCCTGCTCCGCCTGCGGAATAGCACCTGGAAAGAGATGACGCCCAGGGCCGACACCTATAATTGACGAGTGGTGAATACATTTCAATGATAGGTTGTGAAAGTATGAGAACAAAGATAATATACCAAGAAAATCATGCCACATTTCTGAAGCAATAAAGTACTCTTCTATTGCTACAGAAGAGAGTGCATTCGAGTCTGTTGTTGCCTGTGCATAATTGTGTGCGGCAGTTTTTGACGAGTGGCCTGCCTACAGGTCCACTGTATAATTTCTGCCGTGGTGTGCGAGCAAATGTTGAATATAGTAGCGTGAGAATGCGACGGACACATGGCGATAATCTTGAAAGCTCAAACGAGAAGGAAGGAGCAGATGCCAGCGGGCTTGAAAATGCGTGCGGAGAAGGTCGGCTGACATTTTTGCACCGTTGCGCACAAAGAAGTATGCCATTGTGTCAAGCATTTTTTGGTTTGAATTTGAGCATTCATAAATGAAGAGGCTAGCGAAATAAATAGAGTTAGACATTGCATGGTAGACTTTTAAAATGTAAATACCTTTCTATGGGACGGATGAAGGTGATATAGTTAAGAAACAAGCGGACAAGAGAGTGAGGGATAAAACGGGCAATAGCTTGGTCGCGTTGTTTAATGTTACGTGTTTTCTGGTATGTTGTAAGAAGCATCAATGTTTGATGTTCATTTGACCAGTATAAGTTGCGTGTTGCGTGTGTCGTATTTTGTAATAAAGTGCCTTCTAGCTCTGTGGCCCGAGCTGTTTGGCCGTATGTGAGGTGCATTAGCATAAACAAATCGCGTTGGATTTGTTCAGCTGTGGTGATGTAATTTTTAATGGCGGACAGATTGTATGTAGTGCTATTATTACTTATATGTTGAATATAAGTACGGTATAGGTGTGGTGTGCTGTGTATGTGGTGAAGGATGTGGCCAAATTGATGCCGGAGGTTGTTTTTTGGGTCGGTAAAAAATGAATAATTGATATCACGATTGTTGAAATCGTCGTACAGATGTATGGTTTGTTGTTGCGGAATTGAAGGAGGTTGTTGAGGTCGATGTTAAAGGTGAGTTTGTTGATGTTTTGCTGTATACTGGTTTTTAAGTTGGTGACTAGGAGACGCAAATCATGTACATGAATGCGCTCTTCGTTTCGACCATAGCAAGTGACAGATGGTTTGTGTGTGGTGTCCATATGATTTTGTCAGTGACAAACTCTGACGAGTCAGAGATTGACGCAATCCGGCTGTATTCAGCAATAGCAGCATATGCAGACGACTTGCCATCGATCAAGTAATCTTGGTAATTTGTGGTAAAGCTAAAAAAGAGTTTGTTATGCAAGTGTGGAAGGTTAAATGTAGAATAGAAAAGCAAAGAACTTACACTGTAATTAAGTTTTGTTTGTGTGGTGTGTAAATATCGTTAAGTAAAAGTAAGCGGAACCAGTACTTGACTTGGGAGATTAAAGGTGCAATAGAGGTTACGTCTTTAAATTGCCCATTAAACTGCAAGGATGAAGCAATGACGAAACGAGCAATAGTATATCCATTGGTTGCGACATCAAAACGTTTTTCTTCTTTCAATAATGCTATCCACAATTTACAGATTTCTGATTCAATCTGTGCGGCAGTGTGTGTGATAATTGGGCTGGATTGACATTTGTGGACAGTGTTGCGATATTGGTGAGTATGGTAGAAATAGTGGAAGACCAGGTACCCAAAACAAAAGACCAGTGAGGAGAACGACGGATGCGAAGTAAGAAGGTTAATAGATTGGCGCCAGTTTGGGTATACCGTTGGATAGTGGGCCGCTCAAGTTGGTTGAATCCGTGATCAGGGAGTGGTTCGGAGAGTCTAAAGAAAAGCAAATAAGTTAGAGTGGATGACTGAAACAAAGTAGATAGTTTCGACACTTACTTTTTCTGTTTAAGATAACGACGAAGGGTATAGTCTTTTTGGGAATAGAGTTGTGCAAGCGGACAAAAAGCTGCTTATTAACTTTTGCTACAACTTTTAGTACATTTTCCTCTGCATGGATTTTCTTTGTTAAATCGTAGATAGTGACAGGGATGTTTCTTGATGTGCGATTAGGATGTTGTTGTTGGTGTTGGTTGTGTGCTATAAAGAGAATAGTGAGCAAGTTGACAATGCTATAATGTAGAATAGCTATGAAAGTAAAAAAAAGTACCTGTTTTCCACTGTTCGACAATGTCATACCACTTTGTGTGAACAAAAAACCATGGGATAAGCTTGCGGTCGGTATCAACGTTTGACGTTTGGCCAAAGGCAGGTTCCAGACGAGTAAAAGCATTGGCAATGATTGCATGATTGCTTAATACTGATACATCTGGTGCAGGTACAGTGACAGTTGGTTGCTCGGTTGGTGCAGCTACTGGCAAATCACAGTTTTTACAGTGGCGCTGCATTACTTCAAAGTTGGTAGACTTGAAGCCACAACGGCAATGCACATAGTGCTTGGCATCAACAAGAAGTGTAGTTACTTTTCCTATAAAGTGATTAGTATTTCAATGCAATATAAATGGTAGATGGTATAGGAAAGATACACACCATGATCGTTTGGATATTTAACATTAACTTTTTTCTGGTGTGTTTTGCGAATGTGTCGCTTACGAGCAGATTTTGAAGAAAAATATAAAATGCATTCATCGATACCGCAAAGAATACCAGAATGCTGTGTGGGTTGCGATGTACCAGGCTCTGTACTATCGCTTTCACTACCGCTGTTGTTACTAGATTCACTCTTTGAACCACTAGATGTTAAGGAATGTACTGAACGACTAGGGCTATAGTTACTGCGCTATCTGTATGTTTGCATCGATAATGTTTTGGTGTAGACGGTGGGTGAATGACGATGTTGATGAAGGCAGAGCTGATTGGTGATAGATGCCTGGGCGGAAAGTGGTGTAGACGAGATCACAGGAGCTGGACGTCTTTTGAAGACTATAAGGATGTAAAAAATTAGAGATTGTAAAAGAGTAAAATGACTATGGATACATACTTTTGCTTGGAGTACCCGGTTTGCGATTATCTGAAGTGTTTTGAAAGTTTGACGATTGAATTATTTTTAGTAAGTAGAAAATGAAATTGTGAATACTTTTATAAGTTTACCTTGGCTGATATCTGAACGCTCTGAAATTGCAATTGACGACTTTTGGGTAGATTGCAATACCGGTTGCTGTGTACGTACAGCACTGGGCTGAGCCCGGAACTTTCCTTTTTCCAAGGCAGAACGACGAGGAGCAACTAGAGACTGGTTTATACGTGCACCAGAGATACCAGAATGAGCATTTGCACTGGAGAGCTTGACTCTACAACCTTTCTCTTTTTCAACAAAGGAGGGGAAGCAGTCTTGGGAGCTAAAAAAGAAGTGCATTTTAATTTTCAGAGAATGAGATGTAAAACATAAAACAAAGTAAGAGAGAGACAATAATTACGAGAAGCAGCCTCTTGGGAATCATCCCAGCTAAAATCCGATGGAAGACTTTCCAAGGAGTTTCTACGTTCCTGACGAGGTGAACGGTTACCCTGACGCACAGGGGGTAAAGCAATAGCTGCAGAAGCCAACAAGGGAGACGATTGGCCAGCAGGCAAAGCAGGGAAAGGCTCTTGCTGCGGCAGCAAAGGCAAAGGCGAAACCGAGTCCTCAACAGGCAACTGGCTGTTACCAGCGACGAACGACTTGGCAAACGAAGCCCACGAGCGGACCTTTGAAGCATAAGAGCTAGAGTTGTTGGAAGACATGTTTGATTTTTTAAAAAAAGGGGGTTCTTGAAAAAGCTATTGTTAAATGATTAGTATAAGTATTTACAGCGGAAGCACGTAAAAAAATAAAGGGAAAAAGATGATTTTCAAATAATGATTGAAGAGTGAAAATGTAACTGAATGGCAGAAATGGAAAGAGAGGAGAAAAATCCACCTAAATGTCCCAAAAGGAAAGAAGGGAGAAAAATCTACCAAAAGGACAAAAGGAAAGAGAGGGAAAACTCTACCCAAAGAACAGAAAAGGAAAGAAAGGGGAAAAATCGTCCAAATGACTGAAAAGGAAAGACAGGAGAAAAATCTACCCAAGTGACTAAACAAGAAAGATAGGAGAAAAATCTACCAAAACGACTAAATAGGAAAGAAAGGAGAAAAATCTACTGAAATGACTAAATAGGAAAGAAGGGAGAAAAACCCACTAAAAAGACAGAAAAGGCACTAGGACTTTTATATAGTAAAGAGCAGCTGTACACTCACATTTAAGTAACTAAAAGTTGGGGGAAGGAGAAAAGTGTTTCAAACGTTGGCTCTTTATATACTTTTTCTGACTTTAAAGACTGAGCTTTAAAGAGATGGTGACTGGTTTTGATAGATTCCAGAAGGTTCTACAGTATCTTGATCATTTTTTCAAAAGGCTACAATTTTTTGTTAAGACATGTTTTTTTATATAAGTCATTGATGATTTTATTTGGTGGAAAAAGAGAAGAAAGTTATGATGGAAAGGGAGAGAGAGAGAGACAAAATGAATTTTCTAATGACCAAAAGTATGATAATAACGGCCATACGCACGTTCTTGACTCTTGGCTTCAGCCATCATATTTACTAATGACTGAATATGATGTAAGAAGAAGCCAACATTCTCGAATGATGTGAGATAGTTCATTGTAGGAATTATTGGTGTGATTAAAGGGCGCAAAGGAAAAAAGTCATTTTCCTCCAAATAGGCCCAGTTGTCCGAGGAGAACTAAAGAAAGTATATTAGTAAAAAAGTAGGGTGAGAAAGAAAAAGGTTACGTACGGAGAGGAAGAAAGGCTAGTTGAACTTGTCTGAAAAGAGGATTGGCCAGGCGCCAGCTTGCTTATAGAAAGCCAGCATACGATATCCGACAGTTATTGTATGGCTAGGCTTGGCCGATCTTGGCAATCCAACTAGAAAAAGAGGAATTAGAAATAATTTGTGTAAGTTTGTATTTTAGAAGTACCTTTCGCCAATTCATTCAGTTCTCTCTTGTAGCCAAGTTGATTCAGATTACCGCCATTCTTGTAGTGGAGGTAAGCGCACAAGATGGCACGGACGGACTTTATCAACTTTTGGTCTAAGGCTTCGAACGGTGTTCCGCTGATTGCATGGTTGATGATTTGCTCTGGTCGCTGTTCGTTGTAGTTACGGATGTAACTAAAAAAGTTGACGCCTTCTATATCTTGGTCTAGGTGAATACAACAAGCTGATGCAGTAGCAACTGTAGTGGTATTCAGCTCAAGGATGACTGAAGTGAGAGGAGCACCATGTCTAGGGGTAGCCAAAGTATGGAACTTTTTGTAGACTATACTTATAGAAGGAATATTAATAGACTGAGAAATAATGGGATAAAGAAGGGTTACCTTTGGCTAGTTGGTTACTTGTGGACCAAAAATTGCGGTAGAAAGGGTCCTGACGCATTGCAACTTCCCAGGGTTGGAGTTCCTCGACCTCAGAGCTGTATATTATTTAATTTTAGTATTTTAGTAAGGAAATGATTATTTTAATTATTAAAAGTGCTTACGCTTCATCTTCTGTAGGAGTCAAGTAGACGATTTCTTCTTCGACGTCTTCGTCTTCAATGTCTTCTTGTTCTTGTTGTTGTTGCTGTGGGACTAGAGCTTCACAATCAGCCTCCATTTGCATAAGATCCTAGAATCATTTTCGGCGTGGCGACCTGGTCGCCACGGCGAAAATGATGACAACGATGACAACGGAAATTTATTTCAAGTGGCGACCGATGACAACGGAATGACAACGGGATTTGGGCAATGTAATTGGTGGAAAATGGCGAATTTACTGAGGAACAGCAAAGGGCGTTCCACTTTTTTCTTTTTCTCTACCACAAAAAATACTTTACTGTACTCTTTTTTTTAATGTAAAAGCGAAGACGGTTTCAAAAAAAAAGGTAACACATCTTATGACGACCTCGCTGAAGAACATTCTGGCATTGGGGAGGGCGGCCATGTTTTAATTAGTAGATGGAGCAGATTTGTGTTGACGGATTTTGTTTCTATAGGAATTGGACTCGCTCCAACGATTACTGTTTGAATCTGGTGTAAATCTACAAGGAAAAGAGGTAAAGGCTAGCCGTCTTTTTGCTCGTGAACGTTCTGTGCGGCCTTGTGCGTGTTTTTTTGTTTCTGATGTTAATGATTTCCTGTACATTGTATAGCCACGATGGAGAATGGCGGTGCTATTTCATGTACAACAACAAAAATAACAGCAATAACCACACAAAGCGACGACGGTCTCACGATCCACTGATTCAAATAGCATACAACGACAACCAGTCGAACGAGCAGCTTCTTCCGAACACGACGGTCGTAGTGGCATGTCTCTGCGATTGTTTTTGAAGGAGTGACAGCAGGAACAGTCGGTGGATATGCGATTGTATTACACCCTACTGGCAAAAATAAAAGTAACAATCACGAAGACGACGACGGTCTCACGAACCATGGATTCGAATTGTACACAACGACCACCAATCGAACGAGCAGCGTCTTCCGAACACGACAATTGTTGTAGCATGTCTCTGCGATGGTTTTTAAAGGAGTGGCAGCAGGAACAGTTGGTGGATATGCAATTGTATTACACTCTACTGGCAAAAATAAAAGTAACAACCACGAAGACGACGACGGTCTCTCGATCCACTGATTCGAATTGTACACAACGACCACCAATAGAACGAGCAGCGTCTGTCGAACACGACATTTGTTGTAGCATGTCTCTGCGATGGTTTTTGAAGGAGTAGGGACAGGAACAGGGATGGATATGCGATTCTATTATACACCAGGCAACAAAAGAAATAAATTAGCACCCACCAAAAAGAACGACGTTTTTTGCGATCCTCTACTGTTATTCTCTGTCTCTTTACTACTATTGTCATCCCCGTCAGCATGTCATCATCACCACCAGAATAATCATGGGCACCACACTGCCGCAAAAATAAATTTGTCATCTGTTGCGTTATATCTACTTGAGCTGTGTATGTTCAGCAGGAGTGCTCGGAGAAATAGTGCTTCCGGCGCCATTGGCGTTTTTCATTGGGCAAAAACAGTGTGATTTCCACAAACTTTTTCAAGTGGCGATCGATGACAACGGAATGACAACGGGATTTTTGAAGTGGCGACCGATGACAACGGAATGACAACGGGATTTTTGAAGTGGCGACCGATGACAACGGAATGACAACGGGATTCGGTCAATGTAATTGATGGAAAATGGCGAGCATGACAGCAAAATAGCAGGGGAGCCAGCTCCACTTCTTTTATCATTATTATTTTTTTTACTCTTCAGCACACTCGTTTACTGCCGCTTTTTATTCTATACATATTGAAGCAAGGGCGCTTGCAAAAAAAGGTATCTAGCTTAAGGGATGTTTATATGCTGGAAGAGCTGTGGCTTTGGGATGGCGAATGGTTTAATCTCTTTTACTAGTAGCAACTGCTGAAACTAATAGCCATCAAACGAGGGCGGCAACGTAATCCAGCAGCAACAGCAGCACTACAGCAACAAACGTTACAACAAACGGAAGCTACTGCATCTCACGACAACAGTCAAAGTTAATTACCATACGAACGATTTGACCCCATTGAAGCATGACCACAGCACAAAGACAGCAAGACTTGTTGCGCCAGTCTATACAGTACAGGCCACTTTTTGTATACGCTATACGAGGCTGCGAATAACGAATGACAACGTCGAATATATGCGATTAGCTTTCTTCAAGGAGCATCAGCCCTGGCGGTACGTGTTTATTCTTTTTTTTAACAAGCAAACTGGCAAAATCAAAAAAAAGCAGCAATTCTCGCACGGCCATATCGCATCATCGAGTACCCCAAATAACAAACCGCTTAGTGTGCCAGAATAAGGACGAGCAGACGAAGGCGACGATGGTGGTCTGATGTCTCTACCATGTCGTATCGACGAGCAACAGCCAGAAACGCTACACGTGCACTTTATAGTGGATCATATATATATACACCAAAGTCAGCTAAAAAGGAGCGATTCGTGCACGGCCATATCTCACCATCGAGTACTCCAAATAACGAGCAGTTTAGTGTGCCAGAATAAGGACGAGCAGACGAAGGCGACGATGGTGGTCTGGTGTCTCTACCATGTCGTGTCGACGAGCAATAGCCAGAAACGCTACACGTGCACTTTATAGTGGATCATATATATATATATACACCAAAGTCAGCTAAAAAAAGGAGCGATTCCCGCACGGCTGTATCTCATCATCCAGTACTCCAAATAACGAACCGCTTAGTGTGCCAGAATAAGGACGAGCTGACGAACGTGACGCTGGTGGTCTGGTATCTCTACCATGCCTCGTCGACGAGCAACAGCGGTGAAAAGAGCGTGCGGATTATATAGATCAAGAGGGGCTTCAAGCAAATGAGTATTACTACAAGGATCCAGGCATGGCGATATCCCATTATCACATAGGTAAGGAAGAGAAGGATATCAAGGATATAATGACAGTAAAGCTATTCTTCGAGGGCTCTGTGGAAAGCAACGGCGATACGCAGGTAAGGAAGCAATAGCATTTTTTGAGTATATAATATTAGCATGCTGTAATAAATTGGTATTTTGTGGAATGAGATTCTGTTGTCGTGTGATGAACAAAAACCGCTCCATATACTTTAAGCTTAAAAATACATTAAGAAATGTGGCATCTGCGATTCTGGTGCATGTTCGTATATGAAAATCCAATCAGTGGAAGCTGCTGAGGGGTATATCTGCCGTCTATACAGCTTTGCTGCTAATGGCTGCTGGATAAATAATGGTCCCGGACCATCCGCCACATTTAATTGGTCAAATAGTCCGTAAGGTACGGACAATTTAGCAACGATGACCCAAATGACCGCGGATGACCCTGGATTCCGGCTAAGGCGGCACTCGTACCCACAGCACTCGAACATGTAAAAAACTTTGACGAACGAATATACAACACACGTTTTACACAATTCCTCAGTGGTCATTCCAATTGCTGGTCAAAACATGCGTTTTCTGACATTAGCAACGCCATTGCACGTACAGAGCAACTCGTATGAATATATTATATGCCAGCCGGTACATTTTTTGAAAAGAAGCGGTACACAGCACCGTTGGAACAAAAACGGTATCCAGCGTTATTTAAACACTATTTCTTAATTATGACGTTGCTGCACTTTTATAAAGATACAAGCAAAGATGTATATATCATTGAATTGCACTGAACAGCAACAGCAAGCATTTTCGCTGATATACAGGCTTCTTGCTTATACAGACACCGAGGCAAATGCTTTTATTCAAGCGATCCGCCTAATCTTACTGCATTGGCATGAATTCAAGCAGCTACGTTACTGATGAACATAGGACATCGTGGGGCATTAAGGCACTCGATAGGTTGAAAAGAAGGGTATTAAGCGCAACGGGTTTAGGGGCCTGGCAGCGAACGCCAGTGAGCGAGCAGGTTTAGTCGAACGCGCAAGTCCTGGTCCGGGTTTACTAAGGTTCCGGGTTTAGAGTTTCCAATTGATGAGCTTGGATGTATATGGGACTCTCTTCTTCTTCTCCACCACCGCTTATTTTGGATTGCTTTATTTGTTGGGTATTATATATACTTCTTGAATGCTGTATGTATTTGTACGTGTTTTTGAGAGATAATAAACTTATGTCGTACACGTTTCAGCAGAGGAAAGTGAAATGACGGGGACCAAGATTTTGTTGTAAAAGACGTGTTGTCACAAGCACAAACGGATGGGAAAGGCAGAAGGAACGTGAAGAAACGAAAAGGTGATAGCATCTGTGATAAGTGCCGCGTTTGGGAAAGCCGAAGGTACAGCGCTCCCCAAAGAAAATTTTTTACGAAAGGAAGCTTCTGCATCTCTTTCACTCCTTTACTTACTGCTCGCCGCCATTCCAACACTCGACTTGCTCAATTGCAAACTCGCACACACTCCATTGAATTCAGCTTTGCCGCTTGTCACGTTCCTTTTAATCACCATTCGAACAACACTCACCCTATAATTTTTTTTCAACTTCATCACTCGAACAACACCCTCATCTTGCACGCTTTCTTCTCAACACTCATACTACGCATTTCGCTTTCAGTAACAGTTGCACTATAGCAACAAGCATTACAACAAACGGACGCTACATCTTCGCCATTAAAGCTTTTGGAAAAGCCTTTTGCCAGTTGAATGACTTGTCATATCTCAGCAGGACAGCAATACGAGCATAGCAAAACCTGCAGCAGTCTGCACAGTAACGGCCGGCTTTCTTCTTTACGTTATGCGAGAACGCAAACAACGCAATGGCAACGTCGAGTCTATGTCATAAGTATTTCTACAAGGAGCAACAGTCATGGCGGTAGGTGTTTACTTTCTTATTTGGCAAACTGGCAAAGAAAAAAAGCAATAAGCAGCCATTCCCATCTGTGCAGTATCTCACCATCCAGTACTCCAAACAACGTTCTGTTTACAGTAGCAGGATAAGGACGAGCAGACGAACGTGACGCTGGTGGTTTGGTGTCTCTACCATACCATGTCGACAAGCAACAGCCCGAAACGGTACGCGTGCACTTATAGTGGATCATATATATATACACCAAAGTCAGCCAAAAAGGGGCGATTCGCGCACGACGATATCTCACCATCCAGTACTCCAAAAAACGAACCGTTTAGTGCAGTAGAATGAGGACGAGCAGACGAACGTGACGCTGGTGGTTTGGTGTCTCTACCATACCATGTCGACAAGCAACAGCCCGAAACGGTACGCGTGCACTTATAGTGGATCATATATATATACACCAAAGTCAGCCAAAAAGGGGCGATTCGCGCACGACGATATCTCACCATCCAGTACTCCAAATAACGAACTGTTTACTGCAGTAGAATGAGAACGAGCTGACGAACGTGACTCTGGTGGTCTGGTGTCTGTACCATACCATGTCGACGAACAACAGCGGTGAAAAGAACGTGCGGATTATATGTAAGAGGTGCTTCAAACAAATCATTAGTACTACAAGGATCCGAAATGGCAATATCTCATTGTTATATAGATGCGGATGGGAAGCATATAATGGAGATAATGGCAGTAAAGCTATCCTTCGAGGGCTCTGTGGAAAGCAACGGCGATATGCAGGTAAGGAAGCAATAACAGTTTTTGAGTGTATAGTATTATTAGCATGCTGTAATAAATTGTTTTTTTTTTGAAGTGAGATTCTGTTGTCGTGTGATATAAAAAACCGCACCATATGCTTTAAGCTTGAAAATACATTAATAAATGGGGCATCTGCGGTTCTGGTGCATGTTCGTATATGAAAATCCAATCAGTGGAAGCTGCTGAGGGGTATATCTGCATCTATACAGCTTTGCTGCTACGGGTGGCTGGATAAATAGTGTTCCCGGTCTTTCCGCCACATTTAATTGGTCAAATAGTCCGTAACGTACGGACAATTTAGCGGCACTCGTACCCACAGCACTCGAACACATGTAAAAACTTTGACGAACGAACATATAACACACGTTTTACTATAATTCCTCGGTGACATTCCAATTACTGGTGAAAACCATTGTTTGCTGACATTAGTAACGCCAGTGCACGTACATACGAACTCGTTAGAGTACATTCTATACCAGCCGATACATTTTTTAATCATTTAAAGAAAAGAAGAGATACACAGCACCGTTGGAACGAAAACGGTATCCAGCGTTATTTTAACACTATTTCTTTAATTATGACGTTGCTGCACTTTTATAAAGATACAAGCAAAGATGTATATATCATTGAATTGCACTGAACAGCAACAGCAAGCATTTTCGCTGATATACAGGCTTCTTGCTTATACAGATACCGAGGCAAATGCTTTTATTCAAGCGATCCAACACATCTTACTGCATTGTCATGGATTCAAGCAGCTACGTTATCGATGAACATAGGACATCGTGGGGCATTAAGGCACTCAATAAGTTGGAAAGAAGGGCGTGTAAGCGCAACGGGTTTAGGGGCCTGGCAGCGAACGCCAGTGAGCGAGCAGGTTTAGTCGAACGCGCAAGTCCTGGTCCGGGTTTACTAAGGTTCCGGGTTTAGAGTTTCCAATTGATGAGCTTGGATGTATATGGGACTCTCTTCTTCTTCTCCACCACCGCTTATTTTGGATTGTTTTATTCGTTGGCTATTTTATATACTTCTTGAGTGCTGATGTATGTGTACGTGTATTTGAGAGATATAAACGTATATCGGACACGATTTAGCAGAGGAAAGTGAAATGACGGTGACCAAGATTTTGTTGTAAAAGACGTGTTGTCACAAGCACAAACGGGTGGGAAAGGCAGAGGGAACGTGAGGAAACGACAAGGCAAGGCGAAAAGGGGATGGCATCCATGGTCATGAGCACCGTGTTTGGGTAAAGTCCCTTTCAAGGTGTAGCGCTCCTCAAAGAAAAAATTTTCACAAAAGGTAGCTTCTGCATCTCTTTCGCTCTTTCACTTCTTTTTTCTCTACTTGTTTTTTATTATGTTCTGCTCGCCGCCATTCCAACACTCGAACTGCTCCATGCCATCTTGCACACGCTCCATCAGAATCCAGCTTTGCCGCATCTCACGTTTCTTTTGAACAGCACTCGAACGACACTCGTCCTATATTTTTTTTTCACATCTCACCACTCGAACAGCACTCGAATATTACCCATCTCGCACTTTTTCTTTCAACTTCACTGAACGCCCCTCGATTGAAACGAATCTCTCATTTTGCTGTGCTCTTCTACGTGGCATTCGCTTGACGGCAATGGACGATCCTTGGACCAAACTCTTTATTCCTGTGTTGTTACTGTTGACTCTGTCCGGCATCTCTCTTGCTTGGCTCTTATCGGATACTTGATAATTCCTACACGTCTCAGCATCGAGGTGCCTATTGTACGTCACTAAACAGCACATATTGTTTTGCCTCAGTGCTGCCGCTCTTCGTTCTTGATTCCTGTTGTTGTTGTGCTCGCAAAAATGTAAGTTATTACTTTTTTATAGTGATGCAGCTTGTGAATTGTTTCTAAAAAAAAACCACGATCGAACTTTCAATAGCATAAGCACTTGTATATGCTTGCGACTCTACTGACCGGTGTCATGCTGTTTGGCACTAGTGGTAGGCTGACTGTGTTTGATGGGCTTAATATGGTTGTTTTGTAGCACGAGTACAAGGTCGTCTATCCATGTGAAGATGCTTCTGGTTTTGGAGAAGATACTCTTTTTTCTTGAGCTTGTGCCGTTCTTGACAGGAGGAGATAGTATCATCTATATATTTACAAGGTATTATGCAGGATGGCTGTCATTGGAGATGGTTCGTATCTGTGTTGGTTCTGTGCGGCATATACGTGGATACATGGCTGTGACGGATGGATGGATGCGGTGGCCATAGTAGAAACGTTGCTATACTTTGCTTTTTTTAAATAAAGATCAACGGTTTGGAAGCTAGACTTTACCTAAACTGTCTTTGGGGTTGCGCAAAAGAAAGTGCTTTGAGAGACACAGTGGACGCGTATGTAATAATACTGAACGGTATTTGTGAGGTGTAAAAAGAGATTGATATCTACGCACGGTTGTTGTTCCCTCAGAGTGTACGATTTACTGCTTGTGAAATGACTCATCCACAAACCTCAATGCCGTCGTCTGATTCTCGTCACAAAACTACAATAAAAAACAGAAAAGTGTGTGCTCACGTGTAGGTAGTTGTAGCTGTGTTGTATATCACGGCATTATTTGCAAATATAAGGTGTACGTTGAATCGTTGGTTTGATCGTCACAAACGAATGCATAATGTCGAATCTATTGCATCGTCGTAGTCGTCAGGGTTGTTGAAAGAAAAATATCAAGCTGTTGTCAGAGCACGAACAAGGCATACTACAGTGAGTATTAGAATGGCTGTATCAAGACCGCATTCCTAGTCTTTCGCAAAACAAATACGCCCTTCTTTATTGAAAACAAGTCTTTTGTACTGTGTATGACCTACTGATTGAAATTCTTTTCTCTTTTCTCACATGCACATGGGCAATCGGTTGCCAGGTACTGCAAGGCAAATAAAATAACAGCCTTTTGTCATCCATTAAGCCTTCTCTTTCTTGTGGTAAATCCCAACGCCTGATCCCCAAAGTACGTCAAATCCACAGCATACACAACATTTGTAGTTGTTGTCCGTTGCAAAACTTTTATTATGTACTGATAACAATAGCGATCATAAAAAAATGCTTACCTTCTAAGTGATAACCGACCATCAAAGAAAGTTCGTGGCAAAAATAGCAGTGGTTGTTGAGAAACCCGACTTGTTGCTAATGTGGCGTTGATGTGGACGTGCAGCAATTGTAATTGCTTTTGGCTGTGCTTGGTGGAGAATAAACAAGCATGCTATGAGCTCGTTTGCTGGTGTACCGATGAATCAAAGAAAGATGGCGTCACTGCTGCATCACAACAATGTCTCTTGCTTTCCGACCGGGCTGGACATATTCTGTCAGCGTAGTCAAAGTCGTTTGCGAAAAAAAAAGTGAGCTACATTTATCGTTCAGATTGTCGCCGGAAATGCACGCATCTGTGGTGCAGTTTCTCCGTGTTTGCTGATTCAAGCAATTTATGACGACGGATGCAACGGGTTGTACACAGCGTTTGCTAAATGATTGTCTGCAATCGTTTCTGTATAAATTCGCGTGCTGTGAACACGAGTGTTGCGTAAGCTTGGTCGTTTTGATATGGATATGTTGTAGTTGCTGCAAGGCGGTCAGTTCCAAAAAATTTGTTGTAGAAGCGTCACCCAGAAACAATCAAGACAGCCAGATGTGTGAGAAGCTGACGATTCCAGTGGTGCCAGTAGAAAAGTGCGTGAGTTTGCGAGAAGGTGTGTACGCTCTTTATACAATATTGTTCTGTGCTTGGTTTGGTTTATTTTAAAAAAGAGAAAATTTGCTTCCATCAACACAGTCCCTTTTCTTAAGGAATATCTTTGGCGTGGCGACGACAGTGAGAGATTCTTTTGTCAACTAGTCGCAAAAGCCAATGCCAATCGCCAAGAACAGCAACATTATACACAAAAAACGCCATTCAATAAACCCACAACATTGTCCATCACTTGCTTTGAGAGATAAAAGAGAACGGTCAGTGTGAATTAACTTGACGATTTAAGCGCGATCAGAAAAACTACAGTACAAAGGCGACATAGCGTGCACTAGCCTGTATAGACCGGTTTTTCAACATACTTGGATACAAAAGTGGAACGAGATGGCGACATCGTTTCCATATCATTCGCTTTTTTTATCTACGATCAATAACCTTGGTAGTATTTTGGTTTTTACCTGAACATAACTGGTGTATTGTTATAATCATAATATTCTGCGCACGACGATATCTCACCATTTACTGATGCGAAATGCAATCCATTTGAACGAGCAGCATTATTATGAGCGTGTGGATATGACAGAACCGGCTTCGTGTTTGTGGCAATTTCTTTGGAGGAGCAACAACCGTGAACGGATCATGCGTATACTAGTGCTTTATATATCTTTATATATTACCATCAACTCCAACGAATCGAGCATGACGATACCTCACCATCCACTAATGCGAATCACAATCCGTTTGAACGAGCAGCATTATCATGACCGTGAGGATATGACGATATTGGTTTCATGCCTGTGGCAATTTTTTTGGAAGAGCAACAGCTATGGACGGACCATGTGTATTATAGTGCGTCATATATAACCATCAACTGCAACGATTCGCGCACAACGATATCTCACCATCCACTGATGCGAATTGCAATCTGTTTGAACGAGCAGCATTACCATGAGCGTGAGGATGTGACAATATTGGATTCATGTCTGTGGCATTTATTGTAGAGGAGCAACAGCCGTGAACGGACCATAAACCTATATCGGACACGTTTAAGCAGGGAAAAGTGAAATGACAGTGACCAAACAATGACCAAAACTTTATTTGGTCAATAACCAGATTTTTCCCAAAAGGAACAGTATATAGGTGTTTTTTAGTTAATCCATCCTTAAGTATCTCTCCTTTCATGTACCATAGCTCATCTATTATTATTGCTATTGCTATAAAACTTTGTAGGCATATATATATGATGTATATACATCTAAATATGCTTTTATAAAAGACAGTCACATTGCTTATTTTAGACATTACATATGAGGATGTATAAAAATCACTGAAAGTGGCTTTATTTAAGGTGGATTAAGACCTCTAGAAGGTGCAATATTGTAGCTAAAGCACTATAAATTGCAGTACATGTACCTACCATGTATAGCAACAGCATACTAAAACGGCAATAGCAGTCACATAGCCACTGAAGCTGCCTTATATAGAAAACTATTTTTGCGAGTTTATTTTTGGTCTAAACATACACTCCAGAAGTATGGCAGTCCCACCCCTTTCTTATAATTGTGCGGTATAGCAGCAACGCAATGGGTAAATTGTATTAGTATGTTGCTATGGTCGAGTGGACTAAGGCGCCTCCCCATTCCGGTTGAGGCTTTGGAAGGCGCAGGTTCGATTCCTGCAGACGCTATTTTTTTAAGCAAGCAATATTCAGTTTTATTAAGCTTTAAAGTAAAACTAGACATAAAAATCATTCTTTTGTTCAAAAACTATTACTATGCAGTGAGACTAGTATAACTACACTCTATTTTTAAACTATAAAAGAGGATGTGAATAGCAGTAGCATTGTCATTTAGAAAAGAATGTGGATGGTAATAGCAAAGTCAAAGGATTGAGTAGTATTACATAGGGGTCGCAATCTGACCTACGGGTTGAGGACAGGTCAACGGGTCGGGTTGATGCTTTTCTGACCTGCGTGTCAACCCGTCTAACCATTGGCTCAACCCGTTGACCCATTATGACCCGTATATACATATAATATGTATAAGGTACTTGTATTCAAGTAGTCAATCTTCTTATTGGGAAGCATCATTATATTATAGGATGTAGTTGTCAATATGTCTGCTATAGAGCTATAACATAAAATGGACTTAAATTCTTTTTATTGTGGGATTATATTTCATATTTAAGAGTAAAGGATAAGTAAGCTATAAGCGATATATCTAAAAGGAGTAAAGAAGTAGCAATAGTACAATGAGAATGGACTATAGAGGGTGGCAGTAACAGACGAGATTTGACAAAAGACTGAAAAGGAATTGAGAAAAGAAAAACGAAGGATAGAAGGATGAAGTGATAAGCAAAGGGAAAAGGAAAAGGATTAGGGGCATATAGGGAAGTCGATTTTCAACCACACTTTAACCATAATGCTTTCTTTACAGTAATACATGTGAGCCCGAGCAAATTCTTTTGTGATGGTACAAAACCCTTTACCTTTAAAAGTAGATGTTGCTAGCACTGCTAGGAATTTGCATGCCATCATCTTGGAGAGCTATATATATAGAGTTTTGTACTTCGAGTACTCAAGTTCAGATTGATTGACACTTCCTTCATCATCATACCGAAATCAGTCTTGACCCGCTAACCTGAGTTTTGACCCATCAGGTTGAATGGGTGAGGTTGGGTCAGTGTTTTTTGACCTATGGGTCAACTAGTTAGACCCTTGACCTAACCCAACCTATCCAATTACGACCCCTAGTATTACATTAGTACTATTATTCACAGTTTAGTAGAATATATGCATAACAGCATATGTAAATGCTTGCTCTTAAGGTATGCCATATGTATAAAGCAAAATATCAGCAAACTAGTAAAAAGAAGACAAGAAAGAGGTAGTTTATTCAATATGTTTGATATCTCTATGACCTCCGGAAGTTTAATTTTGTAAATAAACTTTTAGTACACACTGTGCATTTATACAGCAAAGGAGTACCGAATGTACAGTGTTTGAAATTAAAATTTTATTATAAAACTATAGCTTTCTGATTCTAACACACTTAATTATGTTGCTCGAGCATCACTGGTTGAAAAGATACAATGATTTCTAAAGTAGTATGAAAGCTCCTATGAAAGCTATGATAGAGCTCTATCAAATTACACTAACTTTTAGGCAGAAAGGTCGGTGGACCACCCCAAGGATATATAGGGGAGAGGTTGTTGAAAAGCAGAACTTTACCCCTTGCCAGCATATAACTACATATAAGCTTTTAGACCAAACCTCACTCAAACGTGGTTAAACAAATTCACTTACTATAGCAGAACTGGTCTTCAACGTGGCCATCTATAGCTGAAAATCTATCTATCTACTATCTCTACCTCTATCCCTATATAAATTCTTGATACTATAGCAGAACTGGTCTTCAACGTGGCTATCTATAGCTGAAAATCACTGCATCTATAACCTTTACCTCTATATATCTTGTTGTTGCTATAGCAGAACTGGTCTTTAACGTGGCCATCTATAGCTTAACCTCCATTTATCAACTACCTCTACTTCTATATATATATAAACCTTAATTGGTAGAAATACTAAAGAGTTCTCTGATGTATCGTACAAGTCAAGGCTCTTCTAGTAGTAGTAGGCAACGTTCTAATACACCTCTGCGACAATATATTAGACCAACCTGCCCTATTCGTTCATGTAGGCTCATAATTTTATATCCTTAAAAAAAGGCACCACTCTACTTTTAATTTCAAGAAACTATTCAAACTAAATATTACTCTATAGTCCTTGCACGTAGACCAGTATCTGATGGTACATTTGATAGCAATGTCAATGTAGCCTACAGCCAAGTAATAAGTACTACTCCATCTACTGGGATGATAAGGCGTTTACCCAATAATCTTTACCAATCGATAAGAGAACGCGGGACCGAAGAACGTCTTAGTGATGAACGACCTAGTAAGTTTAACTTATACCTTCTATATATTTAAGGGTTTTAATATATGTTCCTACATAATGTTTCTATTAGGTCAACGCCGCTGTTTAGGGTCTGAGACATCATTACAGGCTCAACCCATCCTTGAAAGACAATCTTCAACACACTCATTAGACATAGGAATAGATAATATTACTATTTCTAGCCAGAATGAGAATACAGTACATCCGTGACAGCATTCACTACTGCTAGTTGTAGACCCATTTGGTAAGAATTACTATTTTAATCAAAGATATAATCGGATTAGCACATTTACTAATACTAATAGCTCATTTGTCTTATTGTTGGTAGTTTTTGATTTTGCTGCAGATACCATACGATTTATGAGACTACTAGGTGGTCAATTTGTTACTATCCATGGTGATAATTTGGACAGTTAGTATTGACCAATGATCTAAAACTGAATGTAGTATACTCGAAGACATCTCTAACGTTTTTGTTTTATTCCGATTCTCACTCGAGTAGCAACTCCAATTCTCATAGTTCTGGTAGTGGCTCTAGTAGCAGCAGCTCACCAAGCTCAAATTCTGATTCCGAGTCAGATAGTGATTCAGACTATATCTTTAGTAGTACTGATGAAGATAGTGATGAATCTAAAGAAAATGAGTTAGAAAATGAAGAAGCAACTACTGTTATTCACTCGATGTATCGGTATCAACCAGAAAATCTACGCATGCAGTTCCAAGAGCGAATTTTGGACATAAGGAACTGTACGTTATTATATATTATATTATGCTGTCATTAATAGATATATTCTACTAATATATATAGCTATTTATTATATAGTAAACCGGGTTGTAACGTTCAATACATTTGTTCGACTATGCCAAGGGCTCGATGAATATGCACTCCTAGAGGCAATGTCTGCGGGCATTGTTGTTGAAGATGAGGACAACCTACCGGTTGCTGTTAAACTATCTGATAGCCGCCAAGTAGACCTGAATAAATCTATGTCGGACACGTTTAAGCAGGGGAAAGCAAAATGACAATGACAAACTCTTTTTGGAAGAGTGACGAAAAGGGAACCGCGGTGACGAAAAGGGAACATAGTAACGGAAAAGGAATGGGTGGGAGAATGACAAGATTGAACAAAAAGGGAACGCGGAAACGAAAAGGGAACCATGGTTACGAAAAGAAAAACGTAGAAACGAAAAGGGAACGGGGGGAAATGACAAATAGTGAACGAAAAGGGAATGGGGGGGGGAAATGACAAGCAGTGAACGAAAACGGAATGGGTGGGAAAATGACAAGACTGAACAAAAAGGGAACGCGGAAACGAAAAGGGAACCATGGTTATGAAAAGAAAAACGTAGAAACGAAAAGGGAACGGGGGGAAATGACAAATAGTGAACGAAAAGGGAATGGGGGGGAAATGACAAGCAGTGAACGAAAACGGAATGGGTGGGAAAATGACAAGCTGAACAAAAAGGGAACGCGGAAACGAAAATGGAACGCAGAAACGAAAAGGGAACGCAGAAACGAAAAGGGAACCATGGTAACGAAAAGGGAATGGGTGGGAAAATGACAAGAGTGAACGAAAAGGGAAGAACGTAGCACACGTAAAAAAGAAAGAACAAGCCGAGCGGAGTGACAGCGAGAAAACGAAAAGGGAAGCGTAAACAAGAAGTAGCGAAAAGTAAAAGGAGGAGTAATGGAAAAGGAAGGGCGTAGCAAAAGCAGTAAAGGAAAGAAAGGAAGCATGGGAAAAGGGTTGAAAGGGGTAAAGCCGCGGTTGTCATGGTTACCACTACCACCACTGCATGTATGGGAAAGCATCTTCTTCCGATGGGCTCGGGGCCCCAGAACGGTATATATACCTGAAGCAAGGGGGTACCGCTGCTGTTTCGCTCTTCTTTTTTTTTTCTTTTCTTCCCTCTTCTTCCTGCTTTACTTTTTACTTTGCCTTTTTTTTAACAAAGTTCTTTTGCTACTCACTATTACTCAACATTGCTTCATCTTTCAACGACCTTCATTGCCATCTGATCACGCTTGCTGCATCTCACTTTACGCCACTCGAACATTACGCGTCTTTGTC